CAAGGTTTTGAAATTAAGATTTTGAAATCAAGATTTTTGTGTAATATAAATATAAAAGAGATCTATAAATATATTAACTAATTAATCTGTACAGTATTACTAAATATAGTTATATATGTGAAATATTAATATTAATGTAGGATATTTGTAATCAAAATTGTAAATCTCAGATTTAGGATGATAAAAATATATAGTAATAAGAAAAAGAAAATAAATATGATATTTAGGGTATAAATATAAAATTTAGAGTAATAAAATAAAAGTGAGATAATTATATGATTGGATAAAAAATAATAATAATCAAGTGATAAATTATAAAAATTAAGAAAAAGAGAATTTCGCATAATTAAAGAAAGATTATTGAATTAGAAAAATTTATGTTACTATAGTAACACTATCTTTGATTTTATATTATTAAAAGTAAAATTTTTCTTGAACTATTCAACATGATCTAATTTTATAGATATAGTTATAAAGTTATCTAATATATTATAACTAAAGTATGAAGTTTTTTAAATGCTATTTTGTAAGATAAGTTATTATTAAAATATCAAATATAGTTATATTATATCTAATAGCTTATTTTTCAAATTTTCTGATATTTGATAACTTATTTCTATTTTTGTTACTGATTTCAATTTATTAATAAAGTAAGTGACTTGATCTAGATTACTTATATCTTTTATTTATCCAATAAAATTTTTAAACTTAATCTATATTCTTGAACTATACTAGTTTAAAAGATGATATTAATATTATTAATATTTATCTTCAACTTGTTAAGATATCAGTAAAAGATTACATTTTCAAGTTTAGTTGATATATAATTTATTTTTGCTTTATTATTAGTAATATTTTGAACAGTGAAGATATTTTTAATTCTTAATAACCATATCAAAATATTCTTATTTGATTCATTTTTATAAATTGGAATTTTAACTAAAATTTTTGGATTATTATTTTTACTATTATTGTTTTTAATAGGTATTTAATTACTATTAATAGTATTTTAATCTTGTTATTATTGTAATTATTAAAGTTATTAATTTTGTATTTCTAGTTGATTTTGATAAAATTAAATAGCATCAATAAGAGTTTGCTATTATTTCAACAAAAAGATGAATTATTGGAATTATTATTAATTTATTATAATACATATATTAGTAAGTATAAAGTATAAGTATTTAAAATATGTATGTAAAATATGTGTGCAAAATGTATATATAAAGTATATATTATAACTTTAATAATTTTTATTTATTGTTATCAAGTTGTAAAAATACTTTATTATATAAATAATATTAAAATAAAATTATTAATTATTAAATAATAAAAAGATTTAAAAACTAAAGTATAGAATAGAGATATTTAAATATATAATTAATATTTTATAAATTATAAATAAATTAATAATAAATAAAGAGTGATTGATTCTAAATTATTAATTTTAAAGATAACATATCTCCAAGTTATATTATACTTAATTAAATATATATAAAATATAAATATTAATATAAATATTAATAAAAATAATTAATATGAATTAAAAATAATAAATAATAAAGAATGAATAGAAATAAAAAAAATTAAAAACAATACATATCTATATTAATAATGTAATTTATATTTTATATTTAATCTATTTAATAAAATATTAAGAAGTATTAATATAAATCTATATTAATTTCTTATAATAAATATGATGCAAGAAAATATAAAGATATATGAAAATTATTTCATAATTATAATCAATTATAATAATTAATAATATTTAATTATTAAATAATAATTGAATATAAAAATTTTTTGAGGTTGCTCTTATTTACTTTTTAATTTTTTAATTCTTGTATATAATATTTTGAAAAATTATAATAATATTATTATTCAAAATATCAAAGTTCAAAAATTAGAAAAATATATATTCTATAAAAATAATATTTTTTTATTTTATTTTATTATATTAGAATATAAATATATATTACAAAATTATATAGATAAAAATTTTTATTTATAAACTCAAATATATATTCTTATTTTAATTAAACTAAAAGTATTAATTTCATAATTTCTATATAAAAAATATTTTAATTATTTTAATTAAATAAAAATATTAAATTTAGCAAATATTTTAAATAGTAATCTTGAAATAAATTCTCTAAAAGTTTTATATAAAGATCAAAAAATAAAAAATATTAAGAATAAAAATATTTTATTTTAAGTGTTTTGAAATAATTTTTTTAGAAATTTAAAAGCTAGTTATATTATTAATATATAATTATATTATATATTTTAAATATATTAAAAGTTATATTTTAAATATTCATCTATTAATAATCTGAAAAAAGAATATTATATCTTATTGTTTTTATTAATAAAATATTCAAGACAAAAAGAAAAATTCAAGAAAAATATATTAATAAAAGTATATCTAAAAGAATTACAAACCAAAAGTTATCATTCAAAAATTATTTATTAATTTAACTAGTAATAGATTATTAATTAATATTTCTTTCAAAAATATCAATATGAATGAAGTATTTTATTAATTAATTTTATAAATTATATTATAGTATTGACATTACAGAAAAAATATAAGATCAAGCAAATTGAAAGATAATTCAATATTATTTTTAATTTGAAAAAGTTTTATTAAATGATTTATTATATTATTAAAAGCAATTCTTTACAAATAATATATAGAAAATTAAATAAAGAAGTTAAAAAAAAACTTTTGACAAATACTAAAGATATTATAATATGTAAAATTAAATAAAGAAGTTAAAAAAAAACTTTTGACAAATACTAAAGATATTATAATATGTAAAAACAACTAATAAATATATAACATTTCAAATAGATTAGTATATATATTTTTTTAAATAACTAAGTCAAGAAACAATAGGATTTGGAAAATAATTTCATTATCTCTTAAATGACAAAATTATATCATTTAGAGAAGGTTAGTCAAGAATAAAAGTATAGTAAAGTGTTCAGTTATTTCAAATTGCACAAATTGTAATAGAATTTATATTGAAGGTTTTTATTGATATTTCTTACTGAAATAATACACAATATTAAAATTTATTTTTTTTAAAAAAATAAAATCTCATTATTTCTTGTCAGTAACATTGAATATTTTATTATTTTCCTGAATATGAAATTATATGGAGCGAGAGTGAGAGTATCTGTTGCTGGATGATACGCAAGTACATTAGCTATTAACAGTTTATTCAGCAAATCATCTTTTTTAACTATGATTCAAAATTTATCATACTGAAGCCCTTTATCATCACTCTCTAACAAAGCTTTTATAAGTGGCTTTACTGCCACACAAAACCCATCTTGATTTTTGTAAAGATATCCATATTTGTAGTGGTTTAATTGATATTAATACTAAGTCAAATAAATTTATTTGATTGTTGTAAACAGTTTTCGTGTTAATCTCGATAGTTTAAAATAAATTTATTTGGAATATATAATATTGATATAAAATAAATTTGTTTCACGATAGCACTCTTATAAATAGATTTACGTTAGGCAGATTTACAAAAAATAAGAACCTTAATGCTACCATACTATCTGCTTTTCTTTCGACAAGCTTATATAAGACCCACACCTTTTATAACTAATGTTTGCTGCCGATGCCGTTGCCACCGATGCCCGTGCCGGTATTGATGCCGCCGTTAAGGGTGCCGGTACCGCCATAGCCACCGGGATTGTAGCCGGTACCACCGTGGTTTTTGGCGACATTTATGCCGCTGTTAATGGTTCCGACACCGCCGTAGCCACCATTAACGCTGTCGCCACCGTGGCCTTCGCCAACGTTGGTGCCGCTGTTAACGGTACCGACGCCGCCATTTGGGCCGTTGCCACTGTAGCTGTCGCCGACGCTGATGCCTTTGTTAATGATAGTGGGGCTATCGTTGCTTGCACCTTTGTAGCCGTTGCCGACGTTGATGCCTGTGTTCTCGACGCCTACGCCGTTGCCGACGTTGATGCCTTCACTGGGGCTGACTTTGCCGTTGCTGACGCTGATGGGAACAGGAATTGCGTCAGATGAAACGAAGAGACAGATTTCCAGAATCAAAGCAACCACAAAAAATTGTTTGAAGGTGGTCATGTTGCTTGTAGTGAAGAATGATAAAAAAAGTTTCTGTCTGTTAGACAATACCGATACGCTTTTTATCGAATAATCTTATATGTGTAGCATCTACGAAGAGTATCTATTTAGATTCTTGAAAAGCGTATTGAGTTTGCTACATTCAGTCAAATCTAAACACAGTAATTCAAACTTAGTTTACTTCAGAATCAGTAAATTAATAATATCGGTATCAATTTAACATTTTGAATATTGCAACCAACCGGTTTTCTAATAAGACTGCATTTTTTGATATCGATAGTGTCTTTTATTGGAAATAAATTTTCTTAAATCTTTCTTCATGCTCTTTGATACTAAACTCGAAATCTGTATCTGTTTGGCACCACTAAAGAAAATGAAAAAATGACATCAAATGTAACTTTACCTTCGCTTGTAACATATATTTGTATAAACTAGAGATTGAAATCGATTCTCAAACTGGAAATAAAAAGTATTAGGTTGCCAAATATTGAATAAGGATAACAATAACGATGTGAAACTATATCGATATTAAATATACACGTAAATTGCTCCCGCATTATTTATTTTGCCGTGTACATGTTTAAGCAACCCGTGACGTTGCTCTTTTTTAGTAAATTTTTTTTAATTTATCACATGTATTTTACGTATTACATGTACATTATTCATTCGATATATAATTGCTTACTGAATTTTTGTTCTTTTTAATATCGATATGATGATTACATATTCCTGTTTGTGTTTGTATGTATTAACGCTAGCGTAGCGCTATGCGTGAAAAATGACACAGGAACACATTACACCCCCACAACGTGTATGGCTAATTTTAGACGCAACAAAAATCAGAAATTTTCAGCTTTGGTGTGCCCTTTTGAGTTATTTCCAGCAAGCTGACCAGACGTCCATCAAGTAAACAAACATATTAAAGAAATTTAATGACTTTCATATTATTTTCAGATTAACTCAGAATAAATATTTTAAAGCTTTATAAAGTAGATGACACAATCGAATTTGAAAAAATGATACTTTTTTATGATAAAATATTCAATTTACCTTTGAATTCAAACTTATTTGTAAAGATGCAGAATAAGGGGATACCAAGTCGGTACGCATATTATCGCGGTTTGCAAAAAAGGTGTAATCATGCGAACTGCAGTCGGTGTGTAAAATCTGAACCAAAACAGTACTGTACGTGTTTTGTCTAACGCTAATATATCGATATCAATATTGATATTGACGTTGATATCTAAATTATCAGATTCTCAGCATTAGATTAGAAATTATTAACGTTAAAGCAAAATTCTATGTACATGTACACTTATTCCGGCTTGCCATAGTTAACGTTAAGAATTACAACTCTATAAATTCTGCACCCCTGCATTACAAGCAACAATTGTTCGTAGGTGATGAAAATGATACCGATACGTTATATAGCATGCATGGTGAATTGTGCCACTATTTTTACCCAAACTAGAAACATATAGTACGGGACAGCATAAGATATCCACTCTTTTATAGAAGCGCCAAATTTTGATAGTTATTACATGTATATAGTATTACTTTATTACATGATTTAATACTAGCCAATCAAATAATTTATAATTTCTTGAAATTAAAACAAATCAAAAAAATTTTCTTACCAAGTTGTTGCTTTACTAAAAAGCTATTAATCTGTAAGAGAATTTTTTATCTTAATTCTTGGTTCAAAATTATAAGACTTTGTATAAGCATGCACCAAATTTTCAACTCACATACAAAGTAGGTAATATTCAACCATTATAACTATCAAAAATAAAAATCAAAAATTCCTCTTCCAGAAATATAGTTTTACTTAAGAACTATCAATTGGAAGAGGATTTTTTTATTTAACAATTTGTTCAAAAGTTATAACACTTTTTGTAAGACAATTAAAATTGGATATCTTATGCTGTCCCATTCTGTATATAACCATGTCTGTTTTTACTTCTGCAAATACTCCTGTAGCTAATTTGTCAGTCGAAGAAGTTGAAATCTGGACTTTTCATTTTTTTTACAAGGACAACAAAACTTGCAGCTTAACAAGACTCCGCAAAAAAAGAGGTCACTGACTCAGACTTCCTTGAGTTAACCAGAGAAGTACTTGAGTGTTACAAAGTCCAGCAACAAGTGTTGAAAAGTTGGTTAAGAAACTCAAAGATGAGGGGCAGTCATAATAAACTCAGTCAACAAAATTAATCGATTCTCAGAATCAATTCCTATCCCTATACGTGACCACACAAATGCTAATGAAAAAATTATACGAAAGTATTTTAGAAATGATCTATACACTTTTTTATTCACACGATCAAAATATATAGTTAAACTCATAAACATGTACATGTAGACACTCACTATCGCTAGCGAATATCGACAATGACAACTACACCAGAGTATTTAGAAAGGTAAATTCACTATCGCTGCCCTATACACGATCAAGAATAAATAATTAAACTCATAGATGTACATGTTGACACTCACTATCACTAGCAAACATCGACAATGATAATTATAACAGAAGGTAAATTCACTATAAGCATTTCTAAAATACTCTGTCATAGTATGACCACGCAAATGACAATAAAAACATTATATATACTAAATCCACATTAATAATTGTAAAATTCATCAAATAAATAAGTTTTATCCGATAAAAAAACTTTATTTCGGTTCTTTTTCTCCGGTTCTTTAATGTTTGTTTCAATGACATCAAAATTCTCATTATTTTTGTTACTTGATTCTTATCGTTATGGGAGGTTCTGTTTTTGCGCAAACTGAAAACCCTGATGGTGATGTTGGTGATGGTGGTAGTCCTACGGAAATAAGTTGCACTACTACTTATGATGCTACTTGTGGTCATCCGGCAACTACGAATGCTAAGACTAGGTAGAATCTTTTATCGATTTTTGTCATTTCTTTTATAATATTATATTTCCTCTCTTAGCAATGTCTTCAAGTTGTTTTTTTTTTTAGAAATCGGTATTGAATTTGTTCTTTTATCTTTTTCATAATGGTTTCTCCTAAAGATATTCGCCTTTTTTCTTTATTGATTATTTTCGTTCCAATTTTTTTTCATCCAATTATTTTCTTCAATCCGTTATCCTATTTATTTCTTAATAATATTTACAAAATCCACAAAAAGTATAGAGGAATAAATAGATTATCTATATTTGCGTAGTGTTAGAGTTTGAAAAATGCACAAATAAGCTACATATACATGTTATATTATGATTTATGGACGTGACATCCGCTTTTACATACACTATGCAATTGGTTAACGTTAAGTGTATCAAGTGAAAAAGTCAGTCATATTCATCATGTTAAAATTATAACCCAAGTGTTAACCTAGCGAAATTTTATTATTTACCGTAAATGAATTTGTATGTCGAAGCTACGAACATAAAAGTGACAAGTTCCTGACCCACTGCAAATATCTTGAACAATGTAATATACTGACCTCACTAAATATAAAAAATGGGTTCATTATAAATAACAGATGGAAGTTTGGTTGCCCATAGAAATTTCGGATTTACTAGTATCCAAACTCGGACGCATCAAAAATAATAAAGGTAGGCCAAAAGATTGGTTATATACCAACAGAGTTTAGCATTAACAGCGTTCGTTCACGTACTTGAATCCATATCTTAGTCGCGCGAACCTTTATTCCTAATCCGGAAAATAAGACTTACGTTAACCACCTTAACGGCATCAAACATGATACGTAATCGGGTTGTTAATTTGAAATGGGTAACTCCTATGGTGCATAACATCTAAAGTCGTCAAACATTTGTATTTTATAAAATGGATAAACTTTAATAAGAAGTAATTATAAAATTTAATCCGTGAATATACTCAGAAAGAGCCTATTCTATCATACTCACGGATTAAATTTGTATTACTTCTTATTAAAGAAGTTTATCCATTTTATAAAATACAAACGTTTGGTAACTTTAGATGCACCATAAAGAGAACGCTGAACGTAAAGTATTCCCGAATACTAGTCGAGGTAGTTCTAGGCGAATCGTGCAGAAAGCATTGGATTGGAATGTTGTTCGGATTCGGGATTCTATTTACTTCGCAGGCAATACACTTAAAATTATAGGGTCAAATATTTCGAAATGCTGTAGTGGGAAGCGAAATACTGCTGGTGGATGGAGTTGGATGTATTATGAAGATTGTATAGAACAAGTTCCCAATAAAGAATGGAAAGAGATAGAGCTTAATTCACGAAAATTCAGAGTTTCATCTTTTAGTATGGTTCAGTTAGCCAGTGGTGTGATCACCCAAGGATCACTGCACTCAGGATATCTCATGGTTAATGGACACCATGTTCATCGTTTGGTGGCGTTAGCATTTTGTCTGAGAGAAGAAAGCAAAGAATTTGTGAATCATATTGATGGTAATTCTACTAACAATAAATCGTTCAATCTTGAATGGTGTACACCGAAAGTCAATAAAACGAGGTAATAATATTGATAGCAGCGGCAAATTTCTTTTCAAGTATTTCTTGTTACAAAATAGATTAAGTATATCTTGCTACAAATTGATTTTTTAATTCAAAATCTGGTAAATTAACTTTTTGATAACTCTTTTGCCTCAGTCGCTAAAACAGTAATTAGCACTACACGAGCCGTTATCAAATCTTGTTGGGACATTACTGAATTAATGAATTATGTGTAAAACTAAAGAATAAACGAAATATATGTGTTTTGAATTACCGTTGTTTGTTTTGAAATCCAAATTAAATTGTCATTTAAATTCTGATAGCATAACTTTGTTAATATTAGGTTTCAAAGATTGATTATTCTATCAGAATGTTTTAAGCTTTATTGCATTAGAAATCCTATCCTAACTTATGTATTTCCATGTTATACCACAAAATGGGTATTTCTCAGTACATCAAAAGATTACATGTATATGCTTATTCTGTTCAAGAAAACATACACATCTACTTCTTCAGACTTGATATTTTCAAATTATCAATAATCAGTTATATACTGTTATACAATAAAAATAGACAAGAAACAACAAAACCATTTAAAATACACGAAACTGAAATATTGAAAACATGTTGCCATTTTCTCATTAAATGTATTAGTTAGATTAGAAATTAGTAATAAATCGGAGCCAAAGAACAGGGATGTACTTCAATAGTCTAGGGGCTGTGTAATCTCTCCCTTGCAATTCTGCAATTTATTTTTATTAATAAATAAATTCGATTTTAACATTATAATAAAAATCGATACACATAACATTATAATAAAAATCGATACACATAACGGAAATGAAAAAATAACAGATAAAAGGGATGGTTCTGCCTTATTTTTTGCACGTTGTCTATTATGCTAAAAAAAATATACACATTTCTTGCTCATTTTCACCACATTATTTCACCCTCATTAGATGATTGATCAGAATCTCGATATTGGTTAGTGTTAGATGGTATGGTGCATAAAATCTAAAGTCATCAAACGTTTGTATAAACTTCTTTACTAAGAAGTAAATACAAAATTTAATCCGTGAATATGATAGAATAGCGATAGGCTCTTTCTGAGCATATTCACGGATTAAATTTTTTATTTACTTCTTAGTAAAGAAGCTTATACATTTTATAAAATACAAACGTTTGATGACTTTAAATTGCTAGCGATTTATCATTTTTCTCCTAAACTTGCTTTCTTACTGTTTTTCTCAGTGAACGATTTTACACTAACGATGTTACGAGTGAATCTGTAGATTGTTGCGTTGACAGTTCCAGCTGATGTGAAAATACAGCCAGCTGCTATTAAACTGAATAAGATATTTATGTATAAATATAAAATACGCAATAAATATTACTCCATAAAAGGTAAAGTTATTCCAGAAATCAAATATCGTTCTATGAAATAAATATTTAATTTAATTTAAATATTGTTAAAAAACATTATACTCAAAATATGTATATAGCTCCAAAAGAAACACCAAAACAATATAAACAACCAAATAATAAATAAATTGTTTTCCCATCTTTTGCAATATCTTTCTTGTCTCTTCAATAATAATTTGTTGCCATTGATAAATAAACATACATCAATCCATAAAAGAAGATTATTATTATAATACAAGAACTGTAATGATATTATTACCGTCAGTGAACAAACTTCTCTGATTACAGCTTTTCAGGAATAAATGGCAAAAGGTGAGTCATGAATATTGCTAATGCCAGATAAATATATTTACAATGTTGCTAAGAAAGACAACTGTTCGTTAATATATGTTTTTGGTGGATTAATTGTGAGTGCAAATACAAAATGAATATTTTACATTTTAATATTTTTAATTAATTTTGAATATATAATGAATAGCTGTACAATGAAAGTAATTGGAATCGAGTAAACAACTTTTATCAAATTGATGTAACATCCTATCCAATTTCCATTTCGCCTGTTACATTCAGAGGTACTTTACCAGACATACGCATCAGTTTAAGTTCGATTTTTGATGACAAAGGAAAAACTTTATATCTGGAGTGGAAAAACTCCTTTTGCAACAGATCAAACCATGTACATATTTGACACATTTGACGCAATATGGAGCCGAACGTCTTATGTTCCTGTACAAAGATATTTTTATTCTGTGACTTTTATGGATGGAAAAATTTACTATATTGGTGGCGTTTTTGGAAATGTCGATATACGCGAGGTATTGCATGCATTTATTATATTTTTTTTGATAAAAAAATGTTATATTTAATTTTTCTTTAAAGATTTTGATATATGATACTCTCAATACAAATAATCCATGGACTATAAGAGTGAGTTTTGTGAATAAACTATTTGTAATTTTTTGAGTACTAATTAACTATTAAATTACAAGAAAGCGACAACTAATGGATATATAAATAACCATTATCTCCACTCGGCCGTTCTAGGTAAGAAAGTATTTAGCAACAATAAATGTTTAAACTATTACATAAGCTTATACGAATAACTCTTATAAATCATAGCTTCGACAATCAAAGCGTAATTCTATATGGTGATTCATTATCGAATAATTCAGGCATTGTGCCTGAATTATTTGATTACTTTAGACTTGCGAACATTTGAGTTTTCAGAGCTTGTGACTAAAAACAAGCCTAACATTAATGATGTGTCGTCGTTTCCTAGACTGTCATTTATAGTAATTTTATGGTTGTATGTCTAGGTAAGTATTTTATTAAATTACATATAATTAAAAGCTAAATAATAAACAACTATTAATTTTACTTTTAAAAATTTAAGGAGCTTTTTTGACTAGAAATCCTATTAAAGTTATCAAGATCTTGGATTTAAAAGATTATTCATGGATTGATAAATTTGTCACAACTCCAAGCCCATCATCACAAAACTCAAGTTCTGCAACATTACCTACCGCTACATCAAGTTCTACATCATCACCTGATAATAATAAGCAAAAAAAAACTATAATAATTATTTCCATAGTCAGCTCAATTGTCATAGTTTTACTTGGAAGTTTTATAGTATTTTTATTTCGCAATCGAAGAGCCACAAAAATGACTACTAATACTGGATTTCCTACTCAAGTTAATCCTGCAATACATAGCAACTTGGCCGAGATTAATAATCAAAATATCATGATTTCGCAAGTTCCGAATTATGTTCAAAATCAATTTCCTAATAGAGATAGCTATGCTTCTTCTCTAGCTTTTAAGCCTAATTTACAATAACCTTGAATTTATATTATTTAATACAATATCATACTGTATATTTATATTATCTATAAAAAAATTCACGTATCAACAATGCTGCAGATTTTCCAAAATGGCAGATTTACAGCAAAATATATACGTAACAGCAAAATTCGCATCCCAGTTATCAACAATACTGCTGTAAATTTTTTTTAGCAAAATAGCAGTAAATCCCTATCCTGAATATCAATTGTGTGCTTATTTTTGCAGTATAATATTGTAAATTTTCTTGACAAGCTGATAAAAATAATAGGCTTCTCTTTTTGGTATATAACATGAAACTATAATATTTTCTGCATTTTTTCTTTGAAATACAGCATTTGTTATTATTAAATAGTATCTTTTCATTATATTTTAGCATTTTCTCATTATTTTTAGCATTTTTATTATTCTTCAGTATATTTTCATCAGTTTTCACTTTGTTTTATATTAATTTCATTTATAAATATTGTTAAAGTATTTATTATAAATATTTTACTAATAGTCAAAGTAATATTAAAAGTAATAAATATTATAATACAAAAAAATGTATAAAAAACAGTCTATGAGCTATAAATAAAAAAATTAAAATTGTATATAATTCTTCTCCAAAACAAAATTAAACTTGAATTCTTGCATACAATTATTCTTTCATAAAAAAATATTATTTTTTATAAAATTATAAAATTATATTATTATTAAGAAACTATTTTTGTATAGTTGTTATTATTATTTTTAAGAATTTAAACTAAGACTTGTATTTAAAAAAAGTAATAATTGTTATTAATATTTTTAAGATAAAACTTTTATTTATAAAAAACAACAGTTAAAAAATTCTCTTAAATTACTATCTGAAATATATAATCTCTCTCTCAAATTCATATAATTAACAATATCTATAGATATTAATACAGACTTTAAATATTAAAAGAAATAACTATTTAATAAGTCTTTCAATTTGCTAAAACTAAATATAATTACAATAATATTACAATATAAAATTATATAGTATTTATCAAATTATCAATTGTTTCAATATCATAATTTTCTATGTGATTTATAAAATAAATATTTATTTTTATATAATTGAGTAAAATGTGTGAAAATAAATAAAAGTTGCTCAAAATTCTATAATTTAAATTAACTATCTAATTATATATTGTAAGTTAAAAAGTCAGAATAAACTAAAAGTATATATATTTATCAGAAATAACATCTTTAATATTAATAATGACTTCTTGAGTATCACACTATTTATTCTCAGTTATTTTTCTTTTACAATTTAATAATAGTTCACCATAAATCCAATACTTTGCAACTAATTAGAAATCAATAGATTTATTATTAATCAAACAAATATTTTTTTTGCTTTATTTTTTTTATAAATTAGTATAAGTGTCAATATAATAATAAGGTGACTTATTATGATAAAAAAACAAATAGCAATCATGCTATTAATGTGTAGTGATATTAATCAAGAATCATTTTTCTATATTACTCACTTGCTTCAATTAAAGTTGGTATTTTTATATCATTTTATTTAAAAAAAACTTTTTAACTATATAATACATCTGTCCTAAAAATAATACATAAATAATGATAATAATAGAATAATAAGATAACTCATTGTGCTAAAAAAATAAATAGCAATTGAAAATCACGTGGAAATTGTGAAAGAACGAAAGATTATCAATGAAAAAAGTGTAATTAATAGTTAATGCAAATGCATTTAGCATTAGATAGTATATAATAATTATAATAATGCTGTATTTTCTTTTCTTTATATAACAATACATATGTGTATATGCATTTCTAATTATTTGTGGTCAATCAAGAGACAATGACTTTATTTGTTCTCTCTTTATTCCTGGAATTAATACAAACATCAATTGAAAATTGAAAAAATGAAACGATTTTTGAATGATTATATAATCACGCGCTTAAACGAAATGAAGAAATCTTATCTCGCTCAATTCCTTTTTACAAAACAATAATTCGATTTTATTATTGTATTTTTACATAGTAGAAAAATTTTTTCAATGTTTTGGAGTATAAAAAATACACATGTTTTCAAATTCTCATTATCTCTATCTATCCAATTTTTTGTTTTTATATCTCCCCCCCCCCCCCCCCCCTCGTTATTATTTATTTTTATAATATTTATTTTTATAATATTAATTTTGATATAATAATTAAATGTTATAAATGCAATAATTTCAATAAAAATACTAGTATAAGCTTATATGAATTATGTATATTCTATATAAATACAGATATGACAAATTGATTACTTATAAAAAAATAACTAACTATAAAAGAAATTATAATACTTGTAGCAAAATATATATTTAATATGACAAAATTTCATGAAAAAATATATTTATATCAATAACAATAGAAGATGGAAAAATAATATGCTATTGTATTTTAGCTATTCTTTTTAATAGTTTGACAATTATAATAAATCTCTTAAAAGCTTTGATGAAAGATTAAAAGACACATAAATTTTAAAAATTGTGTTTTTTAAAAAACTATTACTGATTGTATTACTTTTTATATATCAAGAATTAATACAGTTCTCCGGGCAGTAATGGCTGGCGGTTTTTTATTATAATTTTTTTTACATAATAATTTAATTTAAATTTATCCTTATAATATAAGTAAGACTTTATATCCTAGAAATATTAATATTTAATATAATTTTTTTCTATTTTTTTAATGTTAATGTAATAATTTATTTATTAAAAAATTTCCAAAGATAAAATGGTTTACTTTTTTAAATATTTTAAGAAATAATTAATATTTTATGCTGATTTTTGGAATTAACTAAATATAGATCGGTGAAACAATTTTTTAATGGGCAAAAAACAGATTTATTAATGTAGTTTTCGAATTATTGAACTTTGTTTAGTGGCGACCCCTAACCGAACTGTTTGTAAAAAAAAACGTTTAATATCTCAAAAACGTTATTAAGAAACTGGTTTTAGAATATTATAAAAAGGTGTTCAGTCGATCGACTTACAGTTACCATAAAAATTTCAGAAATGTACGTAGACATTTCTGTGATTTTTAAACGTCAATCAGCCACTGTAACGGTAAATGCAGATATCTTGTGATGTAGTTTATGCTAATTTAACACAAGGAATCAAGAAATCGTAACTTCTTAAAAATTTTATTTATCATTCTAAAAACTCTTTTGCAATAGAAAATTCAAGAAATTCTAGATAATCTTTATACTATGAAAAAATTACAATTTGATATAAATAAAGCATATTATATTTTAGATTATTTGTATTTATTTTTTTTAAAAAGATAATGGCGATATTGTCGGACCTAAACCGGCGTCTGATGCATCTGTGTATAAGTAAAATTTCCTAGTAAAATCCGGGTAGATTAGAATCGGAACTGTGGTAAGTCGTCTTTTTAATTCCCTAAAGGCTCGTTCCTGATCCATCGTCCACACATAAGTAACGTTATTTTTTAGCAACTTGAAGAGGGGTGCAGCGACTTGGGAAAATCCCTGGATAAATTTTCGGTAATATCCTGCTAATCACAGGAACGATCGAAGTTGTTTAACCGTGCGCGGTTGTGTGAAGTTCTGGACTTTTTCGACGGTGGAAGGATCTGGAGAAATCCCGTCCTGGTTTACTACATGTCCCAAGAAAGGCAATTCGCTTCGAACGAAGTAACATTTGTCGCGGTTGAGCTTTAATTTGGCGGAACTTTCGAATATTAGTCGTAAGTGTTTCAAATGTTCATCAAAGGTCGGTGAGTAAACATTAATATCATCTATGTATACCATAGCGCACTTCCATCGGTAACTCCCGAGTAAGGTATCCATTGTCCGTTGGAAAGTCGCTGGATCATTACATAGTCCGAACGGCATTACATTGAATTCGTAAAGCCCTTCTTTGGTTATAAACGCGGTTTTCGGTTTACTAGCTTCGTCCATCGGGATCTGCCAGTATCCGGAGGACAAGTCCATTGACGAGAACCACCAAGGTTGTCGAGCATCTCGTCGATCCGCGGTAACGGGTATACATCTTTTCTTGTAACTCTGTTTAACTTCCGATAGTCGATACAAAAGCGTTTCTTCTTATTCTTTTTTAGGACGATTACTACTGGAGACGACCATGCACTGTTCGATGGTCTAATGATTCCCGCCTCCAACGTTCTGCCTATTTCTTCCCGAATGAATTCTTGGTCTGGTATCGTCGCCCGGTACATTCTTTGATGAATTGGTACGGCATCGACAGTTTCGATACTATGGTAAGTTGTATTTGTTGTTCAAGTTGCGTAAGTTCGTCTTCAAAAATGTCATTATATTCTTCGAGTAATGAATCTAATCGTTGTAGTTGCGTTTGTGTCAGGACTCGCTGGGGTATTGGGGGTCTTTCCTCTTCCAAACTTTGGAAGCACGCTTCCGCTGTATTTTCATTAGTGGATCCAAATCCCCGGGTTCCCCTACTAGTTTCGCCTAATTCTTTTCTCGTGTTTACAGGAATCATTCCTTCAACATCTGCCAACCGGAGGAATACCGCCTGGCGATCCTATCGTTTGGTTTAATCTTGTAATCCTGGTCGCCAACATTGTTATAATTACACCGATATTCCCGACATATCCCGCGTCAATCGTCCCACCTCTGACTTCGATTCCTTTCTTTGCAAGCGAGGATCTCGTCACCAGTTGACAAACGACTCCCTCTGGTACCTCAAATGCCACATATAAGTCGATCACAATGGTCTGACGTGGTTCGACTATGATTTCCGCATGTCCTGGGTAATAGAGATCGAAGCCGGCATCATTTCTATGGGCGCGGGTAGGCTCCCGTCCTTTTCCTTGATTATTATATATTTTAATCCAATAGTTCATCGCTTTCTCTTTTCCTTTCCCTTTTGTAGGTCCTTCTGGTGATTCTTCAGGTATGGGCTGTAGGCAGTCGTTACAATACTCCAAGTCGCAAGGTATATAACATAATTTCACGTTAATATATTCTAATTGGACTAATTGGAGTCTCTTCTGGTGCGATTTGTTGGTAGATTGACTGAAAGATTTCCACAGCCGACGCTTTCTCGTTTCCATAATAATCGATCTCCAGTCCAACTTCTATATCGTCCTCTCGGATATATCGAGATAGTATGGCCTTCCCGATTTCATCGCATTGATTATATACTTCCAACAGGAGCCCTCGTTCGCGAAGTTTCCTAATGGTCCCGCCGTTTCGTCTCCAACCTCCCCGATTGAAACTAAAGACGCATTGGTGCAGGTAGTCACAGAAGTATTTCTTCTCGTATGAACCGATGATAAACATTTCCCGGGCTTCCATCCGCTCTTCGCATACTTCACAAGCTGGTAAGTTCAATTTTTTTTCTCTGATGCATTCGCCACAGGCTATTGCTTGACGATTTCCTGTTAGGCAATAAGCTCTCATGTAATATTCATCAACATACAGGTGGCATTGTTTGCACTGTTGGATTTGACTCTGGGCGAATGTGCTATTTAGCCTCCTCGCGGTTCTGGAATCTTGCGGTCGTTCGGCCGTCCAGGAATATTTCTCGTTCGACCTCGGCGGCCCAGTCCTCATCGGTCTTGCATTGGATGCGGTATGGAATATGCCGTTCCATTGCCATCCAATCCGCTAGATCGTCCCTACATCGTTCGCATTGGTGGTCCAAGCTTCGCAACTTTTTTTCACACCAACACACCTTGCGTGGGCCTCTCCAATCCAAAGCCCATGGTCGGTCTTCTGGTCGCTCTCGTTGAAACTTCTTTGTCAGTTCATTATAGTCGTTCCAGGTGTACTTTCGCCATTGTACTTTCATCCCTTCTTTATAAGCTTGTACTTCTTTAATCTTCCTCGTTGCCCCAGCTACTCGTGGTGGTACGCCTCCGAAGTTGTTGTTACCGATATCTCGTGGTGTCGTTTTGACTGGAGTCCATCTTTCCTCAAGGATCACCTCGATGCTTTCGTCGGAATTCTACCCTATTATGTTTCGGTTTAATCGTATTCGTCTCATCCCGACTTTTTGTCCACATCAGGTACGTCCTTTTGTTCAATTCTTGTCCCTCGTATTCTTCGCTTGATGACTCTTCCTCACTAGATTCTTCTTCCGATTCGTCGCTCTGCACGTCCTCTATATTATGGATGAATTTTACGGGAACTTCGCCCTTCTGGCCGTCTCATTCGAACGTCATTACACCTTTTCGTAGATTGATATTAGCGTTCGCCTTCCCAAGCCAGTCCATCCCGACCAGCACGCCAAAAGTCTTTGCTTCCGTCACATCCACATTGGCTGGAATTACGATTCCGTCCACGGTGATGGGGAAATCGTCGATAGCTCCTAAAGGCTGCTTAGATTCGCCGTTAATATTGTTCATTCAAACGTTCGACGGTCGCTGAATCCTAATATTATTCTTTTTCAGAAATCTTGGGTCACTACGCATCCCGAGGCGCCAGTATCGATGATCAAGTCGATGGGGGTCTTTCCAATGTATGCCTCACACCAGGCTGACGTTGTCCTAACTTTTTGTAGTGTCATCCCCGCCCTCCGCATCGGTTTCTTTATTATCTGACGTCGCATTCCTTTCGACATCTTGATTCTCTGGGCAGGCGACGTTTCGATCAGCTGGGCGATGGTGATATTGGCCTTCATCGCAGCCAAGTCTTCGACGATGTCGTAGGGTGTGGCTTTAGCTGCGAGGATAGGTAACTCAACTTTCCTTTTCTTTTTCGCGGTTTCTTCTTCTCGGACGTGTTCTCCTCAGGAATCTTCGTCGATGGGCCCACTTCAGTCATTCCTTCGTCATGGTCCATTCCTCCGTCCTCGTCATCCACGATCGGATTTCCCGCTTTATCTCCGGTTTTCGTCTGACGTCTTCTCGTGTTGTGCTGTTTGATGTATGGTTCATGTCGAACCGCGCCATTTTGCTTCTTCTCGCTAGCCAGATATTCGTGAGTTGCGAGTAGGGCGTTGTTACTATTTGTGTTTTGATTTCCAACCATTGCTTGTAGGTTTTCTGTTAATGACTGTAATTGAGCGAAGAGGACGTTGTTTCCATTGTTATTTATATTCCCATTATTGTTCGTCATACTAATGTCGATCGGCGGGCTATCCATATTGGGCGAACATTGTTTTGTGTGGCGGAGTTCGCATTATTTCGGTTCAGCTGACTTTGTTACGGTAATTGTTGTTTTGTCGTGGCCTCTCGCAATTGGTACTGATATGTCCTTGCTCCCCGCAATTGTAACATACTATACTTCGACTAGGATTAGTCGATTCCACTTTCGATTACGGTTATCATCATTGCTCTGGTACGTTTTGGTTGTTCCCATAATTTCGATCCTTCGAGTTAACGCCTGCAATGCGGCAGCAATGTCATCGTTAGTGTGGGACAAACTCGTTTGAAGTCGATGGTAATTGTGAGTTGGGTCTTCGGAGTCGGCTTTTTCGACGTTTCGGGCGACTTCAATCATGTTTGTTAGCATTCCATCGGCCGTTACCTGTACCCACTTTCTTATTTCCGGCTGAAGGCCTCTTCGGTATGTTCGAGTGCGGTATTCGTCGGGGTATTGGCTTTCCTTAGGAGTTCGATGAACTTGTCGGTGTACGCATCAACAGTCACGGTTTGCCGCAACGTCTCCAATTCGTCCTGCCACTGGCGATCTGTTTCTGCGTTCGAAACTTCCGGATTAATTTATGGGTGAAATCATGTTCAACATGGTAATCGTTTTCCCAATCGGTTAACTCAGTATTATTGTCTCTTGCTCGTTCGTCGTACCACATAGCCGCAGGTCTTAGGTATCCCCTGACCACCTGGATTCTGCGTTGGATGGTGATCGCGTTGGCTCGCGCCGCGACCTCAAATTCTTTCAACCATTCGACCGGATCTTGATCGTCGCCTCGGAATTTTCGAATGGGTATGATGATTTTCTCCACCGGTCGGTTGTTCTGGTTCGTGAGGGCTTGGGACCGCATTGAGCACGTTGTTCATGTTCACGTTTTCGTTTCCGTCATCCACCATTTCGTCGTCTCCTAATTTCTGATCTTTATTTTTGTTGTTGCTAGGGTTTTCTTCTCTTCGAAGATGATTGTTCGTGACTGCTACTCGTTTCCGTATCCGATTCCGTTTCTGTTAGCAGCCTGTCGGAATACTGGGGAGAAGTCGAAACGGTACTTTCCTTACGGGTTGAATTATTTATCCACAGAGGGGCACCAAAATGTTGCGTTCCTTCTAATATTTACCGAAAGGGCTTATTCTGCGATGGTTTGAGGGCACCAGATTATTGCAGTTATTGCAATAACCAATCGATTCAAGGAACTTTCTGCAACGGGGTGGGAGTTAAACTG